AGGCCAAGCAATGCCCGCAGTTATCGGTCCTATGCCCCTCACCGAGGCAGAGGAGGCATAAGTCGTGCGGGTCCACGGGAGACATTTTGGAGCCGCACTTACTACACTTGCGGAATGCCACCCGCTGTGCCATCACGAAAGGGAAAAAGGAGATGATAGTTCAGAGGGTAAGTAATATTTTTGGTTGTTTTTTTTTTATAGAAAAAAGAACGAACAGAGGAACTACAACAAGGGAAGAAAAAACTGGGGTATATAACGAGGAAAAGGTAAGTTGAGTAAGATAACCGTAAAGGATCACGTGGTGAGATCTAAGCGAGAGACGAACAGGCACGAGGCACAGTGAATGGCGGTCGCAGAGACTGAGTAAAATGGCAGACGCTCCGCTCTACTTATACTGCAGGGAGGAGGGGAGCGGAGCGTTTTCCCGCCAAAAACCGTTAGCTTTCTAATCTTCCGGCCTAGGCACTGCACAGGCGCAGCACCCATATGTGTGATGCACAGAGGCCACGACGAAGAAGATAGCAATGGCAGTCTAGTCAGGACTCTCCAAACTCGGAAGCCAAGATACAAACTCTCTAGAAAGGTTTGAGATGGTGCATTCTTATCAGGGTATGTTCAAGGGCTGTTCTTTAAGGTGACTCCTATACATGAGAAAACTTAAGAGATGCAGACTTCTCAAAGAAACATCATGGTTGGTAATAATAATTAAATACTAGGGACATCCTATTTGCATTATGACCAAAAGGCTGAAGATGATAAAATTGAAAAAAAGGAGGTAGGGTAACATCCACATGAAAATTTGCTGTAATACTTCAATTATTTTTAACAGATAAAATATTTTTATTATTTATAACATATTTATAACAGATAAAATAACTGCATGTCCGAAGCATGATAAGGACATTTCTAAATGACTGTTCTTTAGAACAGGTAGTCATGGCACTGGCTAGAGGGGCAGTGATGCAGAGCTTAACCCTAAGTAGCTCTTTGAACTGGGGGTGAGAGGTCTCAGTGAACCTGCTGGGAACACTGAACACAGAATTATCCAACTGAATGCATATATAATGAGGAAACTGCCAATAACGTCTAACATAGTAGTATTTGACTTCAAAAGCAGGAATTTCTCAAAAATAAGAGATCAGTTGAAAGGGAGAGTTGAGGATCCAATCTCTCTAAAGCTGTTGGAGGTTATTTAAAACCACAATAATAGAAACTCAGCTAGAATATATACCACAAATTACTAAAGGCACCATCAAGTCCAAGAGGATGCTGATGTGGGTAACACAGAGAAGCAGACAAACTATAAAAGATAAGTTTCCCTTCAGAGAATGGAACTCTTCAAATGGGAACAAAAGTGAATGCATATATTGGCAAAATAAATGTATGTTGACAATAAGAAAAAGAATACATGTTTTAGTAGACACATCAAAAACAGAAAATTGATCAAAAAAGCAATTAAGCTGTTAAATGATGATGATAAAGGAGTGAATGTGCTGAAAGGACAGGGAGGCTCCAGAAAAGCTGAATGAATTCTCCATGCCCTTCTTCACAACAGAAGATGTGGTACAGATACCTATGCCTGAACTGGCTTCTTATAGGAGAAAATCAGAAGAAGGAGTTAAAAACATGACAAGGTAAAAGTTCATTGTTAATTTTTAATCAAAAATTAAGAAATCACCAGTTACCTAGCTAATTTTTAAAGAGGTCAAATGTAAAATCACTGAATTAACAAGAATTTATGCAAGAATACATAGAAGAGGTACTCAACTAATATATATTTACTATCCAACTCTTATGCTCATAACATAACATGCTCTTAACAGTATGCAGTAAAGAAAATACTATAACAGCAAAAACTACTATATTCCCCAACAAAAATTACTTATCAATGTAGCTGAAAAAAGTTCAGGTTTCATGTTCTGAATACTGGGTACCAGATGCTACATTTGGGACCAACAGAAGCTTCTGTGTTATTAGGTGGAAGAAGATGGACTATTGGCAAATGATGGGCTGCACCTCACAAAGAAGGGAAAGCAGACGTTTGGCCACTACATAAAAAAAGTTCATCAGGAGGGCTTTAAACTAAAACATATAGGGAAGGGAGATATGCAGCATGGCATAACATCACCTAGCAAAGACTTATATATTTCAGCAGAAGGAAAAACTTCAAGAAAGGCCCAACACCAGTCTCCCAAAAAGCATAGGAAGAAAACCATGGCACAGCAAGAATGAACTTCAATGTATCGGGAACAAACAGCATGAACATGTGCTCATAGTACATGAGGGCAATTACGATCTTATAGGAGTAACTGAAACTTGACTGGATGACTCACATGACTGCAACTCAACAATTGATGGATAGACCCTATTCAACAAAATCAGAAAGAACAAAAAGGGAGGTGGCATTGCACTATATGTAAGAGGCACATATATCTGCACAGAAATACAAGAAGAGGAACTTAGTAGCCCCATTGAAACCACCCAGTTTAATTTAAAGGGAGCAAAATATAAGAAAAACATAGTCATTACCGACCACCCAGTCAAAAAGAGGACAAGGATGCAGTCTTTGAAAAGCAACTTGTCAGCTTTCTTCCAAAAAGAATGGTGTAGTCATCATGGGGGACTTCAATTTCCCTGATATATGTTGGGGGATAAAATCTGCCAAGCATGGCCCCTCCAAGAGATTCCTGACATGCATTTCTAACAACTTTCTTCAGCAGTAAGTAGAGGATCAGCTATCCTTGATTTAATACTAACTAACAGGGATGGCCTGGTGGGCAAATAACAATCATGGGAACTCGGGGGGAAAGGGACCATGCAGTACTTGAATTCTTAATTGTAAAGAAGACAATGGATAATCAGAGCCAGCTATGGAATGCGCTCCCCAGAGAGGTTCACCGAACACCAATGTTATATGCTTTTCAACACCAGGTGAGGACCTTTTTATTTACTCAATATTTTAAAGTTTAAATATTTTAATTATGTTTTTATCCTCAGTTGTGTGTTATTATAATGTATTTGTTAGGTTGTTTTATATTGTAAGCCATCCAGAGACAAACTGTAATGGACGGGGTAGAAATACCCCAAAAAATACATACATACATACACGCATGCACACACATCCTGGACTTCAAGACAGCCAACTTCAACAAACTCAGAAAAATGATAAGCAAAGTGCCATGACAACACACCCTTAAGGGAAAAGGAGTCCAAGAGTGGTGGGAAATTTCAAAAAGAAGGAAAATTAGAAAGGGTCCAGAGAAGGGCAACAAAAATAATCCAGAGTTTGGAAACACTGCTCTATGAGGAGAGACTGAGAGAACTGGGCATGTTCAGCCTTGAGAAGAGAAGACTGAGTGGGGACATGGTATTACTCTATAAGTACCTCAAAGGCTGTCACAAAGAGGAAGGTCAAAATCTCTTCTTGCTGATACTAGAGTGTAGGACACGGAATAACTGATTCAAGCTGTGACAACTCAGATTCAGGCTAGATATCAGAAAAAAGCTTCTTCACTGTCAGAGCAATATGACAGTGGAACCAATTGCCTAGAGAGGTGGTGGGCTCTCCCACATTCAAAAAGAAAATGGACAGCCATCTGAATGGGATGGTGTAAATTGGTGTCCTGCAACAGCAGGGGGTTGGACCCAATGGCCTTCATGGCCCCTTCCAACTCTACTATTCTATGTATCTAGTGGATAACATACATTAGAATCATATTTTAATAAAAGCTACAACTTGTGCATCAGCCAAATCTGATGAAAGGTATCCCACTGAAAAGTGCAACCATAGAACATCCATGGAAATCATAAGATGAAACAGAACACACCCAGTTGCACAAATGCTTATTCACTCCTTCTGTGGGACTGCAGCTCAGTATGTACAATTTTTCTCAGATCATACCAATTCTTGCAATAGCACTGTTCCTCTTGCCTGAATTGAGTTTTAGCATCTATAGTCCCTTCAAAGGCACCAATCTAGCATATTGCTGACTCCTTAGGATTATATAATTGGAATGAGCAGTCGTCCATGTACAAATGACACTTCTGCTCCAAAAATCTCTGTGGCCTCTCTCAATTGTTTCATGTAGATAATACACACTATAAGGGATATCCAAAGGCCATGGGATGTAACAGAAGTCCCCTAGCACCACCTTCTGCAACAGAACATCCCGGTATCAAGAGAGCCTCAGAATGAGGTCCTGTATGAGTCAATGGTTGACTCATACAGGACCTCCATGGTTGATGGAGGTTGATGATTCCAACAACATGGTTGATGATTCCAACAACAAAGATCTAAATAATTGATATGATAGTACTTTCCCATCACCACCCCATAATCTGTCCTTTGCTGCAAGTCATCCAGAAACATGTCCAAGGAACCTTCAGTTGTAAACCTAGGCCAGATGCCTAATTGGAATGGAATCAAATAATCAATTTCACCCAGAAATAACCAAAATTGAAATACCCACACTTTGTGAGTACTCAGTTCAAGTTTTATAATCAAGGCAGATACAGTGTCCTTAGAAGGGGGTCTCCAACTCTATTCTGCTCACATTCCAAGTCTTCCACTGCATGTTACCCAATCCCCTCCTGCACAAGGAAAAAAAAGCACTTTACCTGAGAAAGGTAGCAGGTGGCAGAGTGCTTCAGAGAGGACAGGACTCCAGCAGGACTCCCTCCTCCAGTTAAGATGCTACAACTGCCATTATCTATACAGGGTTTTTTGCACAATGCATATCAATCAGGAAGATACACAGTAGATGCCACTGTAAAATCTTTTCTAATTTAGATTTCTATAACCTTATTTATTTTCTACACCACCCAATAGTTGAAGCCTCCTGAAGTTAAGAATCATGGCAACTGGCCATATGCGTAAGTCAAAGAAAAAATACTAATCTTGAGTTTCTAGTCCGCTATTTACATAAAATTCTCAAAAATTTTCCCAACGATCAGAACATACTTATGACCCCCCACTGAAACTAGCTGTGAAGACCTCTCACCTTGAATTCTTCTACAATAATAGCCAAGGCATCATGACCAGCTCTTCTCAAGTCTTCCAACTCAAGTTTATGCTTATCCTGTAAGCAAATACATAATCATATATTAAAAATCTGGCCAGCTGTTTATCCAATCCACTAACAAGGAACAGTTTTGCACACCTTTCTATTTGTCATGTAGGGTGTATTACCAAAGTTTTCAGCTCTCCTCTTTTACTATTCAGGCAAGACTTTGGTAGTAGCTGCCTTAGTAACACTGGGAAGCCTTTCCCCCAAGGTTGCAATTCTGATGAGGAATATAGAAGGAAACAGAATTGGGTTTTGCAAAAGCATGAATGGTATAATGAAATATGGAACATGATAATTAATGATAAACTGACAGAAATAAAAATTAAAAGAGGGTTAATGAAAGCAAATAAATATAATGAAATTTGGGGAGATTTTGTAAAAGCAGTACTGATAGAAGGCAAAGGCTGTAAACCCAGTCAAGATTATATGAACTTCTGGAGGAGATATGGAAATAATTGAAGTATATTATATATTATTGTTATAGTATGTGAATGGTGGTAGCATTGGTCTCTGGGGTGGTGGGGGCACTTTATTATTTACTTTTATTATTGTGTTTTTGTTATTGTTGTGATGTACTGTATTTATGGTTTTTTTGGTCAAAAATGGGGGGGGAAAGGAATATAGAATGTAAAAGCACAAACAGTGGAGCAATATCTGAGCTAAGGTCATATGACATCTACATGTGGACCTCAGTGACTAGATTGGCCCCTGAAAAGTGTCTAAACAAGAAAAATCAAGAAAGAAACTCTCTGTATGATTCTTGCTTTAATCATACTGTAGTTGTGCTGTATCCCATCTGTATAATGAACAGAGATAGTCTAAACAAGGGCATCAGATTCCTATTGTATGTCCTCAGTGGTTCATAGACATACTCCCCATCCTTGCTGGCTTAAAAAGGAATTTATTTCAAATTTGAACCTTCATGTTTAACTAAAATCAAAAGAGTCAGGTTGCCTACCTATAACTGGAATTTTTTAAGGGGCCATCTGTTCTTTGGCTGCACAAAGCATTGCAGGAAAAGTCTAAGCCTTAAATTAACAGAGATGGCATTTTCCCATTGGATTCTTACAGGAGATCCTGAAGGGCAGACCAAGCACTTAACCATTCAGTTCTTTCTGCCCAGCCTCCACAATGGCAAACAACAGGAAGTTAACCATAATGGGGAAGGACTGAACACAAGACTGAACAAATCCATGAAGAGCATTTCTTCAAAGGGAGGGGGACTTTTCTACAGTACCCTCATGTTTGTGGCTGGGGTCCATCATTAAAAGGCCCCGTCATTAGGAGCCTTCAGCAGATGCCTGGACCACATTCAGAGAAAAGCTCTTGAATTTCTTGATTTTTTCTAACCCCCTACCCCACATAGCCCTAAGGATATAAAGAGACTGTAAAAAGCATTCCATCTATGTTTTGCCAATTGCCAGTTGCCTTTCATTTGTCTATTCATTGACAGAAATGGATTTTGCACAAATGAATCCATATGCATTTGTGTAAATTTGGAATTTATACAAATTCACATTCTCAGAAATAAGCAAATCCCCCACGAAAGCATAATTCAAATGTAGCATACAGAGTAAATGTTCTGGTCATTTTTTTAAATTTTACAAACTTTTCTATGCCTTACATTTCAATAAAGTTATGCAAAGAATGGTCTGCATGTCTGCAGTATCTGTGCAAAGCCATCACTATGGATCTATGGATCATTTTCTTAGACTTCTGAATACATGTGATTCCATTGCAGATTTCTCCAACATTCCCACATACTACCCAAGTAATTATCTCCCCCAACCCCCACATGCAGCATGAAAGCTTGGGAAAAGGTTTTTATTGGTTACAATGGAATGCTAGTTTCAAGTCTAATTATGGTGCAGACAAGGTGGGAAGAGTAGAGAAGGTCATGGGCCATTTGTGGAGACCCCAGTAGCCAGAGGCTTCCAAGCCCTGCATCAGAAGTTCCAGCGATGTTCTATGAGAAATCTATTTGTGATGTTTCACAGTGCATGGCAAGCATCTGTACCTCTACATTTTTCAGTTCTCATGTAACCTCCTAAAGAAGTAATATCTAAGAACTAATAGTGCAATTCAAAATAGCAGTCAGAGGCAAATCTAATTTAAAGAATAAATGTACTTAAATGGTATAATATTGTTCTTCACTGGCATTTCCAGAAGCACCTGAATTTCACTTTTCTGAACTGTAATATCATTTATAGTTTGCTACTGATATATAAGCAACGCTGCTACACACTATCTAATTACAGTGGTTGCTTTCAGAGAAAATAATTTGTCTTATATGGTTGTGAAACTGTTTTCACAGGGTAAGTCACTGTGCTGAAAACTGCACTTTTTGCTGAGCTGGAAACACTGAAAATTATTGTTAGCATAGCAATTTGCTGGAAGGAATTATGATCAATTACACGTGACAGAAAATGCTAACTGAAGGTTATGGCCTATTTTTTACATGCCCCAAATTTTTAAAGAACTGGGTGTAATTTAAAAATCTGCAACTTAGTATTTTCTATATATTTTAAATTACGTGTTTCCCCCAAATTTTAGGATTATATAAAAAGGGTTGTTGTCATTCATCACTCAAACCTAGTAGCTTTTCACTTTGAAAAACACAGAGAAAATATATAAACAGAATTAAGGCTTTCAGGTAGGGGATCCTCTAATTTTTTTTTTCCACTGAAAGACAGTGTGGTCTAGTGGATAGTGTCAGAGAAGCCCTGAACAAAATCATGTTCAAAACTTTAAAGTTGTGCATTGGGAGACCTGTTGCTACATCTCGTCTAATTTACTTAACCTAAAATTAATCTGCTAGCATATAGCCTGCCCTATGCAGACAAGAAACCTGAGTGTTTTGCCAAAGGCAAGAGGTAGATCAGAACTAGAGATGAACTTTGTTTTTTCAGAATACGCAAACAGCTAGTGTGTCTCAATTCCAAAATGCACTGCTTGCTGTAACGTGGCAAGTATAACACATACTACTAATTCACTCAAACTGTAATCCCCATCTAATCATAGGTCTATCTAAACGATGATCACACATGGCCAAATTTTGGACCTTTCTGTTTCTTCTCCCACCCAACCAGCTTTTTTTCACCTTCCAGCTTAGAGAACTCAAAAGTTTGCATATTTTTGTGGAATTTTGTATTGTCCTAATAGAATCGTTGGCAAATTGTGATTTTACAGTCCATGGTTTCGCAGGGTTTTTATGAAGATAATATGGGGAAAGAATAATATATTCCTTGGAGGAAAAGTAGGACAAAGCTAAAACAAACAAACAAATAATAAATAAATGCAGCAGAGTAAATAAGAGATATCCATCTTCAACCAGATTTAGGCACATGGGTAATCCTACTATTAAGCAAACTGTGGTGGTCATTTTTGGTTGCAAATTTTGGTTTACTTTACTTTATTTCATTTAGTGTATTTTAATTTTATTACCACTTTTATTACCAAAGTGGGTGTCATTTAGATTTTCTATCTCAGACACCTTTCAGTCTCTTCTTTTTGCACTGAAGCGCAAATGGATGTCCAGGACAATACAGTATGATCAGAATCAACCTCATTCCTACCACCTTCATCTTCCTGATCTGGGGTTGCAGAAGTATAGGCACACTTATAGGTAGAGAACACATTCCTGTCCCATTCCTCCTGACCCATCTGTCCACAATCTGCTTGGATACAGCCAGAAATCCAGCTGCCTCCTGACTTATGCCAACTGACTATCTGAGTATGAAAGAAGCACTTTCTGTATTCCTAAAAATGAAAATGAGAACTATTTACCAGACCCTATCATGGCACCCTCATGTTCATCAACTTGGTCAGTGGAATGATGAGGTTTGACATCTGCTCTGCTTGGGCAATTGTAAAATCTTAGATTCTTTCCCAATGTTCTAACTGTTGGGCAGGAACCTACTGGGCTAACTGCCTCCTCTGCCAGCCAACTCCAAGTCTTCAGAATCCATGAGTCCCCCAGGATCTGAGGAGTATACATGGATGTGTGCTAGTCTTCTTTGTCATCTTTCTCTCTCCCCCTGGTTTGCCCTTATCCTGACATTTTATTATTACTATTATTACTATTATTACTATTATTATTATTATTATTATTATTATTATTATTATTATTATTATTATAACATTTCTATGCTGCCCCTTGCCGAAACCTCTATGACAGGATGACTTAAAGGTGAGGATGTTCAGATGAATATGCCTGAGGAATCTGAGATGACGTCTGGGAATCTGACATAGAGAAGAATCATGCCTTTTTAGTAATCTGCCTCTTGCCTTGGCTTCCTCTTGTTTTCCCTTACACTATCTGCTTGGAGAAAAGGTGGTAGGCTTACTAGGAAATGTTTAATTTATTTATATTTTGACTTTTTTTCCTAGAGGGCATCCAAGGACGCTTATGTAATCCTCTTCTTCTCTCTCTGCACCTTTGGATACAGCACCCTATTCCCCAGATCTCCTAAGACACCAAGTCTAGGAACTGTGGAAGTGAAACCTTGCCACCCATTTCCTTTCATGTCCACCTTCCAGACATTTTGGACATCCCTCTGGGGTAAGAGACACTAACACTCCAAGGCAGAAGCAACTCCCCTCCTTCCTACTCTTACTAGGAAGCCCTCTGTCAATGCAGGAGAAAGCAGGTGCGGTAAGGGGAGACAAAGGATACAGAGACAGAAACAACAGAAACATGAGAAATTTGGCTCTTACCAACTCCAACATGATCCAACCATTCTGTTCAACTTAGCAGAGATGGTATGTTGGATGAAGATGGTTCCTTCTACTACACAGGATATACATACTTGCTGCAGAAGGATATACCACCCTTAAGTTTGTTAAGTCTTCTGTGAGGCTCATGGGAATACTGCTTTCCCTTATTCCTTCCCTGTCCCCTCGCCCCCCAATTTCCCTTTATTCTAACTTCTGCTGGATTGTTCAAATCCTATTAACATATCTTTAGACCATACTTTGTCTTAAGCATTACACCAATATGGGAGAACTTTGCT